GCGATCTCTGTCCTGAAGACTCAGGGTAGGTAAAGGCTGTGCCACCGAGAGTCATGGGGTGTTGCCACCTTTGGCCCACCCTTCCCGAGACCTGGCCCAGCTCTGAGACCCAGAACCCTCCTCCTGAACCTTTCCTGCCCAACCCTGCAGCCCCACAACCCTGTGTCCTTGAAAAGGTGGGGGTGGGAGAGAGCGGCAGAGTGGTTGTCGCCCCGTGTCTCTGGGCATCGAGGAGAAGCAGCTGCCCAAGGAGACCCAGGGCCCAGGTGGCAGAGACAGGATAGGATCCAGTCTCCTGGCAAGGGAGAGAAGATGCTGCCTAGAGCCCCCCAGTTACCCCATGTAAGCCAGGCCCACAGCCCTGGGCTGTGCAATCCCGGTCTGGGCCATGCCCTGGCTCCGCCCCTTCTGGGAATCTGAAGGACAGCTCTCCAGTGCCCTGAGACGCTACCAGGTCTGGAGCTGGCCTCCGCTTGCCCATGGAGCTGCTTGTGACAATCAACTGAGTCCAGTCCTCCTGTCAACCTAGCACTGGGGGCTGGGGGTCCTTCTAAGTGTGTACCAGCTGCAGGGCTATGGGAGTGGGAGAGAAGCTGCCTCCCAAAGCCCCCCAACTTTCCTGGGTCCTCTGGCAGCCTCTACCCAGCACCTGGAGAACCAGTGTCCAGGGGTGTCTCCAAGGGCAGCCCATACACGGGTCCCACACACTGGCCTCCTTTTAGATGGCACCTCACAATGGCTGTGTGGGGCGGGTACCCTTGGACCTGTTCTCTTAGGGGAGACTGAGGCTTGGAACGAGCACATCTGTCCCCTGGGCTCAGGTGCACAGCGCCTCCCTAGCTAGTGTCTGGGTGTCGGCACCCAGGGTGATGCTGATCAGGAGGCTGGGCCCTGTCCTGCCTCTGCTAGTGTGATTGCCTCCAGGCTGGCTCCCTGGATTGTGTCTGTTCTTGGCAAAGATAAACTGGCACTGGTACCTCTGGTCATTGGGGCAGTATTTGCCTTCTCCTGTTAGCAGTAAATATTTACTGTCCTCACTGCTCTCCAAGCCTGAGCAGATCTGAGGGGCATGAAAGATGAACACAGGGATGCTGAGGCCCATTCCCTGCCTTGAGAGCTGACAGAGTTCTGGTCCAGGGAAAGGGAGCCAGCCCAGTGGCTCTTAAGCTCTTGAGCTCCAGGAAGGAGGCTTTGCTGATATGTGTGCCAGAGAGAGGAGAGAGGGGAGAGAGACCCCTGGAGATCCCACACCTGGACTAGATAGGGTCGGTTCCTGTGCAGGTAGCTGTTTCCTGGGGGGTCACCAGTCTCCTGGCGGAGAATTCTGGGCAATGAAGCCAGAAGCAGTCATTTGCAGATGTAGCCAGAAGAGGGCACCAAAGCCTCACTCTTGGTGGTGTTCCAGCCCCAGCCCTGCTGGGCACACTGGCAGGCTGCTGTCCGGCCTCTGCTTTCACAGGGCTGTGGGACCAGCAGGCTGCCCGTCTTGCACTCTGGAGGGTGAGAGGTTTAGGAAGGTGAGAGGT